CGGGACCCGGTGGAAAGTGTGATGGGGCCGCCTGGCCGTGGGCGCCACACCCGCTCCTGCCGCTTGGGTGCCTCAGGCGCGGGCCGCCAGTGGGCGGAGAGCTGGCCGGAGTCCCCGGGCCTCAGACTCGCCTTACAGACGCTGACCTCTGCTGACTTCCTGTAGAGCGCGGGAGGGGCGCCCGACACTCCCGCAAACCCCTGGGGAGGGTGGGGTGGGGCCCGCGACCTTAAAGCCGAGCAGGGGAGCGCGGTAAGCCAGCGGCGGCCAGGTAGGGCCCCAGGTGAGACGGGCAAACCCGAGCTGCCCAGTGGGGCCCCAGGTGAGACGGGTAAACCCGGGATGCGCTGTAAAGGCACTGGCGTCAGGGTTACCCCAGCAAGGATGGGGTACAACTGCAGCACGCAGCCTCGCCCTGCCATCACCCTCTGGGAACTTCCCCTTCATTTGGAGGTCTCCCCATTTAAAGGTAATTATAATTTTTTAGAAGTTTTTATATGCCAGGCACAATGTGCTAAATGCCTCACATGTGTTATCTCAAGCCGTGTGATAGCTATCTTTTTGTCCCCATTTTATAGGTGAAAAACTGAGGACTAGGCAGGGGATGTGACAGGCCCACCCAGATGGCAGAGCCGGGGTTGATCACCCCGCCCCTCCAGAGGTTCGCTGCAGCCCCATTGCTGGTGAGGGCGGGGACATGGGCCCCTTCGCAGTGTGAACAGCGTGGTTCCTCAGAGATGGTCCTGTTATCTGTGGCCCGGGTGGTCTTTGTCCTGGGGGTGGAAGGCAGGGCGGCCCTTCTCCATGGAGCTCCTACCACACACCTTCTCTGGGTCCCCTCGTCCCCGGAGAAGGGCAGCTGTGGCCCCACGGTCCTGCCACATGGCACCCCCACGCTGCAGGTCCGTCAGCCCGCGGCCCACCTGCCGTGTCTCCCGCCTCCAGGTGGGGATTTCACTGCGCAGCTCCGGGACAGCGAGGGGACATTCCCACGTGGCAGGAGGTGGGGGAGAGGCATTGCATCCTCCTCCTGAACAGCCTCTGCCTCGTCAGTTGCCAGGATACGGAAGGAAGATGCCTGGACCCTGGGAGGCTCGGAGGCCTCTGTGCTGTTAATCGGGCTTCTCAGGCCACTGGGCGAGGCCAGTGGCCACTGCTAAGGGTTCCCTCCTTCCTTCTCTTCCGCAGCTCAGCACGGGGTCCCAGAGGGGCGCAGGGCCCCGTCCTGTGCTGTCCTCACTCCTGATAGAGAATGCAGCTCAGGCCACAGGCTGCACCCCCTATATGGCTCCCCTTTCATCAGCGCAGACCCCAGGCCCTTGGCACAGAAGGGGAAAGGTCTAGAAGGCAAGGTGGAGGGGGCTGCCGGAGTCTCTGGCCCGGAGCCATCCCCTCCAGAGAGCCTTGACTATGGATGGTCCTAGTCTAGAAGGATTTTCAAGGACTTCCTAGCAAGCTCAGGGAGGGGTACAAAGTGTCCTGGGTCAGTGGTCAAACCTCTGTGCTCTGGATCCACTACTCAAGCTACCAAACCAAGAAACGTCATTTCCCGTCTTTGAGCTGTCAGCTCATTTGTAAGACGGAGATGCCAGTGACCCCTGTGGTCTCCACAGAGCTGGGGGTGGGGGGCCCGCGCTTCAGGAACATCACCTGCAGGGCGCTGGTCAGACGGGGCCACCGTGACGGTGATTTGAAACCCACGAGCACCCCAGCAGCTGCATGAGACACTCAGCGGAGGGCCCTCCAGGTGCTAGATGGGCTGGGGCTGGATTGCACAGTCACCTCGTGTAATGCTTATGCCAACCCATTTTACAGATGGGGAAACGGAGGCTCAGAGAGCCAGTCACACGGCCTGCAAGTGGTCACCTAGATAAAAGCCAAGGCCTCAAAGGCTCCCAAGACTTACGCTGTCACCTGGTCCCAGACTCCTCATTGCCCTGACTTCACGCGGCCGCAGACCTACCCTGGCACGTCACTGCCGCCTGTCTTGCTCTGGACCTCTGGAGGCTGTCAGGGCCCGTGAACTTCAGGGAAGCACGTGGCCCTGAGGCAGCCCTGCCGCCCTGGGAGTGGGGGAGGGGCAGCCGCAGCCCATGTTTTGGGTCCATGTTGGTCCCCATCTGACCAGCCCTCAGCTGTTCTCAGGACACCTGCCCTGGACGTGTTGGTCTGGGGACCCCCCCCCCACCCAAGAGAGCCCCAGGAGGCCTCCAGGCTGCCCGCCCAAAGCGAAGTAGGCAGTGTTCCAGCCATGAGTCACCCTGTGCCCCCTGTGCTCTGTCCTAGGCCCCCAGCAGCAGGACCCTGGCACCTGCCTCCCGCCGCTGCTGTGGGCAGGAAGGAGCCCCCACCAGGTCTGGAGTCCGGGGCTTCACCACACTTGATTCGGGCCAAGCTTCATGCTCAGATTAGTAAGATGGGGTCATTACTCCTCAGCAAATGCGCAGGATCGCAGAGCAGGACAGCTGAAGGGAGGGAAGTCAGAGGCCGAGGTGCAGCCTGGGACCCATCAGGGTTCCTCTGTCACAGCTTGGGGGGAGGGGTGGGCAGGAGGGGCACTGGTTGGAGCACAAGCTGGCACACTGGGATCCTCATGAGGTGGGCCCTGAGCGGCCTCTATGGCCTGGCCTTCGTCCCCCCAGCCACGTGTCCGGGGGGAGCAGGGACAAGCACTGTGGGACACGGGGCAGCGCTGAGGGGAGTGGGCGGGTGCCCCGGGAGGGGCAGGCTGGGGAAGAGGCCATCGAACAGGCATCCGGGAGGCCTCTGTGGTCCTCCTTGGACAATGCCGTCCACAGAGAGGGGCCAAGTCACACAGCGAGGGCTGCGGGGGCCCCGGCTGGGGAGGAAACGGAGGCTCCACTGCTCTTTCAGGACACGCAGGGAGTCGGGAGGAAGAGGGGACGGAGACAGCTCAGGAGTGCAGAGGGGACATTCTGGCGGGGCTTGCTGGGGGAGGGGCTGGGGCCTGGGCTGTGGGGGCTGGGGGTGGCTCCTTCACAAGCACAGCAGAGGGGGCCCCCATCTCGGCCCTCAGAGCCCCTCCCTGCCTGGATGCTGAAGGGGGGTGTAGAAGTGGGTGGCCTGAAGCTGGGGAGGGACCCCAAGGGACAGCCCTGGCATGGCCCTCCCGCAGGGTGAGGGG